CAGCAAAAGGAATGTGACTGGCAGACTTGTGCCCAGGATCAGCTTCCCTTGTTGCCAGCTGTTAGCAGGTAGGTTTAACCAAAGAATCCAATGACAGTGCATAATTCCCAAGTGTCTCAGGGCATTGGGACTCTGTGCTCTTAGGTGCCAGGGGTGGAAGAGTGTGGCTTTGAATCCCGCTCCACAACTTTCTAGCTACAGGGCTTTGAGTGATCACTTCCCCAGGGCCTGGATCCAGCCATTCCTGGAGCCATTTATTCCTGGCTTCATCAGCTATGGGAACCAGTCCATTTTTTTTTTCCTTACTTATGCTGATCCCAATTGCATGTCTGCCAATCACAATCATCAGAAACTTCATAGAAAGAAACTCACAGTTCTAGTCTGTGTTGTAACCTGTTCCTGCAGCTTCTCACTCTTGTGAGACAATAAATGATTTCAGGTGGCTGCTCTGTATCCTTGGCAAGCCTAGTACAGTGCCTGGGTCACCCCACAGCCAAATGAATAACAGCAGATCGTCATACCTAAACAGAGGTTCCAAACTTGCACAAACATGTTCACTCCTGACCTACTTCTTTGACAAAGTAACACCCCACACCTTTTCCCCAGAAAGGATGCTGGCCAAGCATCGGGGCTCCCCTCTAATGCTGCCACCCCTGCTCTGATGGAAACCAAACTCTGTGTGCCTGCCCAGTTCAAAGACTGACCCAACCGCCCTCCCCCAGATGGCCCATTCCCTGCTCTGAAATAATAGATGGCAAGTGAAATAATAGATAACAACTACCTGTCAGAGCAATGTCAAATACCAAGTGGCCCCATGAGTGGGCTCTGCAAGGTTTCCTACACTGTTTCATTTTTAGATGCTATTACCCACAGTTATAACATGAAAAGAACGGGGCGTCACCTGTCTTATACAGCCCAGTACTGCAAGGCCTGAGACATGAGCTGTGTGGTAGGCTCCAGCAAGCAGCTGTGAAAGAGACAGCGGAAGGGCTCCCTGCCATCTTCCTGTCTCCATTCTCGTGTGACCCTTTGGCTTCTGTCAAGGACAGAGTCTCAGAGTCCCAGATGCTGACATCTCTCCCACCCTGCTCACCCTGCTCAGCTCCCCTTTTCACAGTGGGGCCTTGGGCTGGGAGCTTGGTCAGCGAGAAGGAACAGTATGATGTTTACACTGGGCTTTTTTTTTTTTTTAAGATTTATTTATGCTTACAGGACTGGGGTACAGGCCAGAGGTGTGGTGGATGAGAGCATTCACCAGAGATAGTGGGGAGCAGAACAGGCAGATTGACAAAGTACACTGCTGAGGGGAGCAGTAGGCAGGTCAGGAGAGGTCTGCTGCGCCATGTGAGTCAGCTCCCTGGCTGGGGATCGAACTCGTGCTGCAGTGGCTTCGGAGAGCTTTATGATGCAGGGCTTTAATCCGTTGCGCCACCAGGGAGAGCTCACTGGGCTTATTTTGAAGCAGGATTTTTCATGTAGGACAAGAGACTCTGGCTTTTGTTGTAGGTTCTTAAATACAACTCGTGCAAAAAGAGATAAATTTAAAGAAAACTACTGGGTAAACAACAGCATCACATGTAGTCCAAACTGCCCATAGTTGGCAAATGAGAGAAGTTGGTTGAGTACTGGTTTATCTCTTAACTAGTTCAGTCCCCCAGGCCGCTAGTCAAGTGAAACTATCAGTAATTGCTACCAACACCTTTTTGCTGTCCTAGTGAGATTTCACTCCCTAAGCGATGAGTGGTCAGGGTTTGGAATGTATACACAGTTTGTGTAGAAAGATTTAAACCAGCTTTCAGCTTAAACCAACCCAAACAAGCCAAATGGAGATTGAGCCCAAGTGTGGATACAGGACAAGAGAACAGTCATGCTTGGGGGAGTCTCAGATGGCTATCTGCTCCTTGGCCTTGAACTCGTGGTAGATGTTGCTGGCATCACGTGCAAAAACAAAAAATATTGTGTGCGATCGTTTCCGTGTTCTAATAAAAGGAAGAAAACATCTACCCACTTTCAGAGACAAGTTTCCCCCAGATTTGGCTCACTGTCTTGGTAAAAGTCTAACTGGAAGTGTCTCTCATTATTTTGACACATAAATGCTGTCGCTATGACCATTTCTTCTCAGTCTTCTAAAAGAGAGGTTGCCGATGGCTGGCTGTGAACTATGGGTCCAATCACAGGCCTAATGGATTGCAAAAGGTTTTGGTTGAGGCTAGCACAGTGTTTTCAAACTATAATTTCCTTTATAAAAATAACAGCTTTATCGCGATGCCGTTCATATGGGTCACATCCATTTCAAGTGTAGAATTCAGTGAATTTAGTATACTCGTAGAGCTGTCCAGTCATCTCCACAGTGAATTTAGATACATTCTTATGTCCACCCTCCCCCAAGAACCTGTACGCATTAGCAGTCACCCCTCATTCCTTCTACCCTCTCATCCCAGACACTCCTCTTGCTATGGATTTGCCTGTTCTGGACACTTATGTAAACGAACCCTGTGTGCTGCGGTCTTCTGTGGCTGGTCTTTGCTGTTTCGCACATTCCATCATGGCATAGCATCGTCGGCACTTTGTTTCCTTTCATTGCCAAACAATATTGCCTGGACCATGTCTTATTTATCTGTTTGTCAACTGATGGGTATTTGGAGTGTCTTGTCTTCTGGACTCTTCTGAATAATGCTGCTATGAGCAATCGCATCGGAGGTGTTGTGTGACAATGTGTTCCTTTCTCTTGGGGATATATGTGGCCGTCGATGGATCTCTCCACTGGGTCATAGCAATTTTATGTTTTGATGACAGATGGTCACATTGTTTGCTTTTTTTTTTTTAAGATTTATTTATTTATTCATACAGAATAAATAAGGCCAGAGATGCGGAGGGTGAGAGGCTTCACCAGAGACAGAGTGGGGAGCAGAACAGGCAGATCAACGAAGTACACTGCTGAGGGGAGCAGCGGGCGGGTCAGGAGAGGTCTGCCACGCCATGTGGTCACCTCCGGGGCAGGCGGGATTCGAACTCATGCGGAAGTGGCTTTAGCTTCTTGAAGTGGCTTTAGCTTCTTAGTGCTGTGCTTTAACCCGCTGTGCCACCAGGGAGGGCCCCACATTGTTTTCTAAAACAGCTGCATTATTTTGCATTCCTAGCTGCAGGGCAGGACTGACCCAACTTCCTTACATCCCGCCACTTGTTTTACCTGGTCAAGAAGTGATAGCAGCCACCTTAGTGAGTGTGGGGTGGCAGCTTCTCTTTGCTTTGATTTGCTGTTTTCTGGTAGCTAATGATGTTGACATCTTTTCATGTCCATATTGATCATAACATTGTCTGTATTTTTTCTTTGGAGAAATATCTATTTGGATCCTTTGCTCATTTAAAAAATTTTTACTTATTTATGCTACAAGAACTGGGGTGCAGACCAGAGGTGAGGGGGTGAGAAGATTCACCAGAGATAGAGTGGGGAGCAGAACAGGCAGACTGACTGAAATACACTGCTGAAGGGAGGAACGCATGAGATAGAAAAGGTCTGCTGCACCATGTGGGTCATTTAACTCATGCTGCAGTGGCTGAGGATAGCTTCATAGTGCTGTGTCTTTAACCCCTGCACCACCAGGGAGGTTCACCTTTAACAGTTTTAAAGAAACATCTAAATTAACTACAACCTAAATAAACAGAAAGATATGCCATGTTAATGGATGAGAAGACCATTATTGTTTAGATGACAATGAACTTCAAATTTTCTCTAGAGTTAATTTGACCCCAGTCAAAATCCCAGCAGAATTTTCCTAAAAACCAACAAGCTGATTCTAAATTTTATATGGAAAATAGAAAACAAGACTTTTGAAAAAGAACAAAGTTGAAGGACACACACTATCTGATATCAAGAATTACTTAGTACACTGATCATACTGATGGTTGGAGAGAGACAGTGTCCAGAAATAGATGTACACAGGTACCAAAGTAATTCAACGCAGAGAGGGAAGGTTATTCAATAAAAGATGCTGGAACAAATGGATGTCCACATGTCCAGCATGACTTTCAATTCCTGACCCACACTAGATATGAAAATTAACTCGATATAGACCAG